AGCGCGAGGACGCCGGCGTCGTGGCCGTGGTAGGAGCGCGGGCGCGCGGGCGGCCGGGGCGCCCGCCGGGCCGCGCCGCTGACGCCCTCGCGGCACCGCAGTTCCAAAAGGGAGTCAATCTGGAGTCGTTCGCCATCGTGCTGGCGCAGCTGCTGGGGCTCAGCCTGGGGATGAACTACGACGGGGCCAGGCGCTGCCGCTGCCCCAGCGCCGTGTGCGTCATGGACACGGAGGCGCTGTGAGTGGCACCACCGCGGGCACGCTAGCRTTGAATACCGACAATCAGGGCTGATTCGGTTCCCTCGCAGGCGCTACAGCGGCGTGAAAACCTTCAGCAGCTGCAGCCTCGCCGACCTGGAGAGCTTCCTCAGGCGGCACCAGGACTGCCCCTTCATCCGCTCGCCCCTGCGAGGGCCGACCTACAGGAAAACGGCCGTGTGCGGCAACGGCGTGCTGGAGCACGGCGAGCAGTGCGACTGCGGCTCCGTGGAGGTGCGCCAACCCCTTCCTCTGCTTCAAGGMATTGCTCGAGTTCGCTCCCTGAGAGGGAAGAGAAGCGGGAAGTTTTTCCTTTTCCGGGGTCRCAGCGTTTCTAACACACAGATTTGCAGCTTTACTCCCGTTCCGGGCAATCCTCCCAAGCACGGCGCGGGTTCGGAGTAYGGATAGGGCAAATGGTAGCCCGACAAATGAGGAGGTTTTAAGCAAACAATTTGTTCTGCAATGTTTTATCRTTTCCAGGCGTGCTCCAAAGACAAATGCTGTACTCCCCAGTGTAAATTCAAGCCAGGGATGAAGTGTTCCTCGGGGTTATGCTGTGAAAATTGTCAGGTAAGGCGTGTTCATAATTATCAGCAGTTACGGTCATTCGTAAATTTTGCAGAAAGAGTATTTTTTCTATAGCTGAACTACAAATTAGCTTTCTGCTTTTGCATGTACCCTAAAAAGCTTTGTGCTCTTTGTGCTGTTTTCTTTAGAGAAAAGGGCACTTTCCCTAAGCTTTGCACCGGAAAGCTTTCRTGGCAATTACTTGTATTTTTTCCCCAGCACGGCTGACTTGGAGTCTTGTTCAATTAGTGTGACGTGTAGAATTTCTCTGGGAAAGATGAAAGCCTGGGGTTAAAATGATTTGCTGGTGTTTGAAGGACAGGTCGGATGTTCAGAACCAGGAGCAGAGCTCCATGGCTCTGTCCCGGGCACGGAGAGCTCCGTTTGTGCCTCGATGATACGAGGCATTGCTGCAAAGAGAGAAAACAGGGAAGAAACGRTGCGATAGTCGGTGTGTTTTGGTGAAAAGCGCGGCAACACTCAGTGTCACGGGCGGATTCCCGGCGGGAGCTTTGGGAATGGTGCCGTGAGGGATGGTCGGGGTGGCGCCGGGACCCTCGCCTCCCGCCGGCGCCTCTCCCTGCAGTTCAAGCAGAAGAACAGCAAGTGCCGGGCGCTGTCGGACGCGCAGTGCGACCTGCCCGAGTTCTGCAACGGCTCCTCGGCCGCCTGCCCCGCCGACCTCTACATCCAGGATGGCTACGAGTGCGAGCGCGGCACGGGCTACTGCTACAAGGGCCGCTGCCAGTCGCCCGACCTGCAGTGCCAGCGGCTCTACGGGAGAGGTACCGGGGCCGCGGGCACCGGCCTCCGCTCGCGGCACCTTTCCCCATCGTGTCGCTGGCCGCTCTGTGCTCAGATACCCCGTGTTGACGCTTCCAGGTGCAAAAAACGCTCCTCTGGCGTGTTACGAAGAGGTCAACAGTCAACAGGACAGATTCGGGCACTGCGGCAATCACCCAACGGAGGGGTATCAGGCCTGCGCTTGGCTGTATGTTTCCGCGGAACAAGCAGCGTTTTCCTGGGAATAATGTTCAATATGTGCTTCTCTCTGCTGCAGGTGCAGAGAGGACCGCTTGGGAGGCTGCCCTCTGCTTAGGGCTGTCTTTGGTGGGACTGCATTTCCCTGCTGCTTTAGCCTCGGACATTCCTGGAGAAGTGGTGTGGATGAATGGGTTTTTTTTCCCCAAGCAGATGCTGCTGGTGTTAGGAATAGGATCTGAGTAAGGGGCATTTGGTGGGAGCAGAATGCCCTGTGCTGGGCACAAATCCCTCCTTCCCCGTGAGCTCGGGCCCACTAGAGTGTGAGGGTGTAGGAGGTGTTGGAGACTGAATGGATATGGGAGAAGAATGCTCATAAAATGTCCCCTTGTGCAATCCCTCATTTAACGCCCTTCCAGAGCAGCTTCTCTCCTTCCATKGGGAATCCAGCTCCTCCTAAACACGATCCGCCTGCGATCGTGTTCTCATTTCCATCTCCCTTGCTCAGCTGCCCGCRTCGGCCGCTCCAGACGGCTCCAAGAGATGCCGTGGCCCCCCTTCTAACCTCTTGTGCCCATCAATTCTTCCAGGAATCTGGGATGTGGGAAGCTAATATGTGCCTATCCGAACCGTATTCCCTTCACACAAATCAAAGGGGCTGTGATTTACGCTCAAGTGCAAGAACATCTGTGTGTGTCTTTCGATTACATGCGCGGACCCACGGTGCCAGATCCCCTCTTGGTTAAAGAAGGCACCAAATGCGGGCCCGAGAAGGTAAGAAATATTTCCTGAGCACTTGGGAAAGACATATATTTAAATATACCGCAAGCGTAGCCAGTCTGGAAATAGTTGTCCATTCGCATTATGGTTTGGAGATAGTCCGTACTTAATGTTTTTGTCAAAAAGCACATTTTTTTTTTTTCTTTTCTTTGGGATTTTCAGGTCTGTATGAATGGCACTTGCTCCCCGCATTCAGTCCTGAAGTATGACTGCAACCCACAGAAAAAGTGCCACGGACATGGGGTAGGTACCAATGTTATCGATGCTATCGATGTTAGAACTAATATTGCTGAAGAAGGGAGAGAGTCTTCTCCGGTCTCCCCTGTGATTTGGCTGGGAATTGGCTGGAAAAGAAACCGATTCTATTCTCCAAAATTGTCATGCAATAATGAGTTATGGAGGGAGAAATTAAGTAATAGCATCTAATGAGGTAAAGAGCATTCTTTGCTTGTGTGGATTAGCAGGATTGTCTGGATTAGGAAGCTGAAAAAAAGGGATTTCAAGGAGCTCTTGCAGCCTGGTGGTAACCGCTGCAGTGGGGAGGGTCTGTGTAAGAGGGAAAGGGCCAGCTAGGAAAACAGCAGTCGTGGGGAGGATCCAAGCACAGTCCTCAGGACAGGCTGTTATAAACCCAGGGGGGTTTGTTCCCATCCTGGCGTGTGCAGGTGTGCAATAACAGGAAGATGTGCCATTGCTTTCCGGGCTGGAAGCCCCCAAACTGCAAGGTTCAAGGGTCTCCGTCGAGCGGCAGCGTCAGCAGCAGGTCGCGGGGGCTGGACACGGGTGAGCGCCCCGAGCCGGGCCTTTTCCCGGCGCTTTTCCCGGGTGCAACGGGTGCTCCCAGGCTCYGGGAACAGCTCAGCCCCGGGGCCTGGCCGTTTCCCGGAGCTGCTCGCTTGGGTTGCTCCCTAGACCCGAGTGCCAAAGGCTCCTCCAAGGACACATTGAAGACGTGGCTGCTTCTCGGCTTCTGCCTCTTCCTCCCCGTTGTTGTYGGCGGCACCGTCCTGGCGATGAGGTGGAAGCAGCTGAGCAGCTTCTGCGCCAGGCAGACATCCCAGTTTGACGGGTAAATTCCTTTAGCTGCCTGCTGTGAAGCCCCCTTTCCGGGTGTGCGAGACGGGCAGGGCTTTGTGGGAGCAGCGGATTCCCGAGGAACGTCGTGTGAGCGGGACTGGCACCCTGGGAACGCGGCGCCGGGGAAGCCACGGGGTTGGGAACTGCGGGAAGCACCTGGGGCTCCTCCAAGGAGGGATCCGGCCCAGGACAGAGCCGGACCACGCAGCCGGAGTGGAGGCAAAAGGAGCAGAGCGCCTTTGGTGGCACCAGGCTCGCTGCCGCACGGGCGAGCTGCCACAGAGCCGTTCTGCTCGCTAATTCCCGGGAAAAGGGAACCTCGGAGGGCCAAGGGAGGATGGGGGAGAAGCGGCAGGTCTCTGGCGACGGTGCTGGCGAGGCCAGGGCTCGTTCGGCTGCTTCTGACACTCGTTTCTACCCCGTCCTCCCCCAACCCAGGTCCGAGGTCGTCAGTCTGTCCAGCTACGGGAGGTGAGACCCGGTGACACCGGGCTGGCTCCGAGCGGGTCGGCCCGGAGCGGTTGGGTTATGGTGGCTCGGGCCGAGGGGGATGGGATGGCCGGGATGTGCCGGATCCGGCCGGGATGTGCCGGATCCATCCGGGATGTGCCGGGCCGGGCGGAACCACCGGCCCACGGTGCCGCCTTGTCCCTGCTGCGCAGCTCCGCCACCGAGGAGGGCAGCGCGGCGTCCGAGGAGCCGGAAGCGGCGCCGGATCCAGAGCCGGTTCGGGAGCCGGAGCCGGTTCCGGAGGCGGTGCCGGTTCGGGAGGCGGTGCCGGTTCCGGAGGCGGTGCCGGTTCGGGAGGCGGTGCCGGTTCCGGAGGCGGTGCCGGTTCGGGAGCCGGAGCCGGTTCCGGAGGCGGTGCCGGTGCGGGGCCGGGCCGCGCGGCGCGCTCAATAAAGGCGTTGAGCGGAGCGGCGCCTCCGTGCGGCGGCAGGGGGCGCGCGCGGCCGTTAGCGTGACCGTTACCGTGACCGTTACCGTTACCGTTAGCGTGGGGACACCGGGGAGGGGACAGGGGACCGTGACCGTTAGTGTGGGGACACCGGGCAGGGGGGGACAGGGGAGCGTTACCGTTAGCGGGAGGACACCAGGGGGGGCAGGGGACCGTTACCGTTAGTGGGGGGACATCGGGGGGGCAGGGGACCGTTACCGTTAGTGTAGGGACGCTGGGGGGGTGGGAAAAGGGACCGTGACCCGTTACCGTGGGGACCGTTACCATTAGCATGGGGACACCGGGCGGGGAAGTACAGGGGACCGTGACCGTTAGTGTGGGGACACGGGCAGGAGACTCTTACCGTTAGCGTGGGGACCATTACCGTTAGTGGGGGGACACGAGAGGGGACAGGGGGCCGTTGCCGTTAGCGTGGGGACACCGGGGGGGGCAGGGGACTGTGACCATTAGTGGGGGGACACTGGGGAACAGGGGACCATTGCCATTACCTCAGTGGCACCTGGGGGGGGACGTTGCTCTTAAGGAGGACCCCATGGGCAGGTGACCATTGTCACTAGTGTGGGGACACTGGGGACCATCGCTGTTACTGGGAGGGCACCGGGGGCCTTGGCCGTTTAGGGGGGACCCTGTGCGCAGGGGACCTTTGTCAATAGCCTGGGGACACCCGAGGCCATCGCTGTTAGTGGGGGGGACACCCAGGGGCCATTGCTGTTGGTGGGGGGGCACCCAAGGGCCATTGCCATTAGTGGGGGTCCCTCGGGGGCCGTTGTCATTAAGGGGACCCCCACGACAGGGGACTCTTGCCTGAGGACAGCCGGGGGGCATTGTCATTAGGGGGACCCCCAAGGGCAGGGGACTCTTGCCAGTAGCCTGGGGACCCCCGGGGACGACAGGGGACTCTTGCCTGAGGACAGCCGGGGGGCATTGTCATTAGGGGGACCCCCAAGGGCAGGGGACTCTTGCCAGTAGCCTGGGGACCCCTGTGGGCCATTGTCATTAAGGGGACCCCCACGGGCAGGGCCCTCTTGCCAGTAGCCTGGGGACCGCCTGGGTGCCGTTGTCATTAGGGGGACCCCCACGGGCAGGGCCCTCTAGCCAGTAGCCTGGGGACCGCCTGGGTGCCGTTGTCATTAGGGGGACCCCCATGGGCAGGGGCCTCTTGCCAGTAGCCTGAGGACCCCCTGGGTGCCGTTGTCATTAGGGGGACCCCCATGGGCAGGGGACTCTTGCCAGTAGCCTGGGGACCCCCTGGGTGCCGTTGTCATTAGGGGGACCCCCACGGGCAGGGCCCTCTAGCCAGTAGCCTGGGGACCCCGTGGGTGCCATTGTCATTAGGGGCACCCCCATGGGCAGGGGCCTCTTGCCAGTAGCCTGGGGACCCCCTGGGTGCCGTTGTCATTAGGGGCACCCCCACGGGCAGGGGACTCTTGCCAGTAGCCTGGGGACCCCGTGGGTGCCATTGTCATTCGGGGCACCCCCATGGGCAGGGCCCTCTTGCCAGTAGCCTGGGGACCCCCATGGGCCATTGTCATTAGGGGCATCCCACGGGCAGGACCCTCTTGCCAATAGCCTGGGGACCCCCTGGGTGCCGTTGTCATTAGGGGCACCCCCACGGGCAGGGCCCTCTTGCCAGGAGCCTGGGGACAGCCGGGCCGTCGGTGTCGGCGGGCACGCGGGCGATGCTGCGGCTCTGGCTGTGCCTGTGGCTGTGGCCGGGCACGCCGGGC